AGCTTCGGAATGCCGCCCTTCGACACAAGAATCGCTCAGCGTCTTAAGCGAAATTGCCATGTATATGAATGGAGCCAGAAAAGACTCCAAGATATATCGTCTGATGTTTGTGGCCAGTACTGCATTACTGTGCTTCACTGGTTGTTCAATGATCGGTCTTTACAATCCTTTCATAAACTATTTTCTTCAGACACAAAACGTAACGATCGCATTATTATGAAAATGTTTAAAAAAATTACTCAAAACCGAAATTGTAATCGTAAAAATTTAAGTAAACCTTTTCAGAGCTTATCTGGCAAAGGTATTTTACATTGTAATCAGCGTTCCTCTATAAAAATTGTGTACCTTCATTAATTGATCAATAATAATAATAATAATAATAATAATCATCATCATCATCATCATCCTTTACAATTAACAAAATTATGTATCCTGAACAATAAGAATAATTTCTGAATAAATAATTTATGTAATCCTATAAATTGAGCGTTATGTAGTCATTTCTTATTACCACCGCCCACTTTCCACCCGCCACCCCTTTCCCACATACCACCCACTTCCTGTGCTCCTCGAACCCCAACTTTGAGGCCCTGCACCTCAGGGGGCCCCTCAGCGCGCCGACGGCCTCTTCAAAGGCATGCCGCCGTGGGGGGAGGGGGGACGTGCACGTACACTTCCTGGAAAAAAGGGGCGGAGGGGCGGAATTCCTGGAAAAAAATTCGCCAATAATGCCCTCTTACTACTTGTGTACGAGGGTCAAAATGGAGCTCGGTATAGAGGCTAAAATGAATGTTGAAATAACGGCCAAAATGAGTGTCAAAATAAGGGCCAAAATCAGAGTCAGAATGAGGGTCAGTATAAGAAACAAAGGGTCAAAATGACGGCCCAAATAAGGATTGGCATAATGGCCGAAATGAGTGTCAGGATAAGTGTCAAAATAAGGCGCGGAATCAGGGTCATAATGAGGGCCGATAAAAAAGTCAGCATAAGGGCCAAAATGAGCGTCGAAATTCTCGCCAAAATGAGGGTTGAAATACGGGCTACAATGAGGGTCAATATAAGGGCCGAGATAAGGGCCGGTATAAGAGCCAAAATACGTGTTGCAATGAGGGCCAAAGTGAGGGTCGGAATAAGCGCAAAAATCAGAGTCAGAATAAAGGCTGGTATAAGGGCCAAAATGAGTGTCGGAATGAGGGTCAAAATGAGAGTCGTAATAACGGCCAAAATAAAGGTCAAAATAAGGATAGGAATAAGAATCAAAATGGGGGTTGGAATAAGGGCCAAAATGAGCATTGGAATACGGCCCAAAATTAGAGTCAAAATAAGCGCCAGAAAAAGGGTCGGTATAAGAGCCAAAATAAGTGTCGACATAAGGACCAAAGTAAGAGTGTGAATAAATGACAAAAACAGGGCCAAATGAAGAGTCGCTATGAGGGTCAGAATGAGGGCCAGTATAAGGGTCAGAAAGGAGGAGATATCATTCGATCGTCGTTCTGGTTTCTTAATACTCCTATGCAAGTGAGTGAAATTTTTTTTCTCGCTTGGCTCGGTTCAATCGCGGTTTTCGGGCCTAGCAGTGAGGAAAAATTACATTCATCGCACGGTCCAGAACGTATTTTTTTACGAATGTGGGTTTATAGTTTGAGCCGAAGGCGTATAATGACATTCATCATAAAATACTTTATGGAACTTATGATGAAAATTCCCACTTCATTCCATTCATTCCATAATCTTCTCTAAAAAGATTGGTCAAGAACTGGCGGCAGGTCACAAAGTCTGTGAGATCGGCTGGTCTATGGGGTTACTTCGTAATTTATTCATGCGTCAATTATGGTACTGAGATGAATAACGGCAATAGAGTAAGTGATGATAATTAATATTTTCTCCCATTTATTAGCGACATAATTACCACAAATACCATATTTATCGCTGGATATTTGTTTAAAAGCAGCAATGTTCATTGAGATTATGTCCATTATTAGAATACACAACGAAGTCAATTCTTGCAATATTGACTAGAGTGATTGCATGTTCTCATTTGTTCGGTTGTAATAGCCATCTTCGAGATGAATCCAACCTCATATCACATGGAAAGTATCGATAGTTGAGGAAAAATAACTCAACAAGTCAAGGAATCTTGGAGCAAACCTTTGTCCTATGCTTTTTCTAGATCTTTATGGAGTGAAGCATCGTGGAGTTACCGATGAATTTTTGTTGCTCGCTTGAAGATTAATTTCATGAACGCATACTCAATCATTTAATCGAATTCAGGAGTGATTGAGTGACTGGAGAAGAAAATGAAAAATTCTTAACATTTGAATCAAACAGCCGACTGATTGAATTCACCTACATTAGTTATTCCGTCTCGGTTCCAAGATAAATCAATTTCCGCTTTCTCATCTTCGATTTTTCAATTCTCATCATCATTACGTAAGAAAATGGAAGGGACAGTATAAAAATGAAAATTATTACTCGTAGTTCAAAACTATGAGAAATATGATGTGAAGTAATGAGGACTTCTTCCTCCACCCCAATACTTAACGATGACAGACAAACGCGTAAAGATTTCCTTGAACGCAAATTAATTTTCGATCATTGTTGCACGTTACGAACGAATTTTCAATCAACAAGTGTCACATTTGTGAAGGAATAAATTGAAAAAAAAATCATCTTCAATGGGTAATAACTCTAAGAAATTTACCGACCGATATGGCTATTGATTCGGTTAACCTTTAGATGTTTTAAAGGTATAAATTACATAGAAAGCGGGATGCTATATACAATCCATCAGCTTTTCCAATCTCTGTATGAGGGAAATAATAAAAGAATTATCAATGCACAAATTAAAAAATTCGGAGGCACTGGGGTATAATCCCAGGCAGAGTACGATTCCGCGTCTCCAGTTTGCCAGACTGGTGGTCTGCCACTTGAGCCACCGGGCCGCCACGTAATAACTCCATTTGGAATTGCCAATAAACCTCTTTTAATATTCACACCAATTTCCATTCATCTCGAGGAATTGTAATTTCGGAAGAAAACGAAAACCGAGAAAAAACTGATTTGGAAGCCCTGTTTGTTCCCAGAATTTTAAATTCAATGGAATGTCAAATGAATTGTTTCCATAATTTATCAATACATTGTTGAAATGATCATTACACTGCAGCAGATCTTTGAAAATTGAAGTGAATCAAATGATGTATCAGTAATCTAACAAACTTCTGCTGAAGAGCAATATTCTCTTTTTCTATTAAATTATCTTTGCGTGTATAAAAAATTTTATCTACAAAAATGAGTAATAAAAATTCGTCTCTTAGATTCATTGATCCAATTGAAAACTTGGATTCTGTAATGCAAAACGAAACCGAAACCAGTGGAAAAAACTTTTGAAAAATAATTCTAATAGAAAAATCTCAATAGAAAAATTCTAGCAGAAATTCAAAATCTATTAAATTTGGCCTATAGAATATCTAATAGAATCAGCGCAAAAATCAAATAGAATTTCCAAATAGAATTCCAATAGAAATCCTATAGAAACCCTAATAGAATTCCAAAAGAATTTTCTAGCGAATTTGCTAGGAAATTCTATTGAATTTTTTCATACGTGTAATTATGTTGGAAAACCATGGAAAAAATCAGAGGATGATCAGTAATATGCTAATTCCATTTAAATTACGAGGAATCAATTTATGGTAAAATTCTGAAGACGACTGATTCTCCGTCAATCCAGCTACGTATTATCTTCAAGGTATAAAAAAAAACGGAACTAAAACTGTACTTTTATGCACATCAAAAGTACTCTATGTGAATTTCTTCACATTTTTTCAACCATTCATGTTAAGAAGAGTGGATCGCACGAAATTTAAAAAAAATAGAAAAATAAATCCGTTGACCTCAACGAAAACAAAAGTTTAAGGGGGGAGGTCGGTGAGTTTTGAAAGTATTCGGTAGAGCTAGGGACACATTGACTGACTTTTGATATATCCATGATATATGTTAGATATGTTAAAAAGTGGGAAAAATCATGACACCAATCGATTTTGCCCCATACATCCCCGAAAAACGACATTTTTCGTGTTTTCAGCTACAAAACCTTGCTTGCACCACAGTTTTCATACGATTTACAATTTTTTTTTGTTGTTCGTAAGACTCCAGAGAACAAACGTAACTATCCGTTTCACGATCCGAGTAGATGTGTGAGGCCGTATCTGGCTCAACCCATTTTGGAGAGGGTCAGAAGGGTCTGCCTGAAGGTATCCCGCGAGTGGGTGGTAGGCGGCTGATTAATCAATTAATTCGCGGTTCAATTCGCGGATTTAATCCGCGGTTTTAATTCGCGGTTTTAATTCGCGGATTTTTAGTGCAACGCTGTAGAAAGAGTCTGTTCACGAAGGGTACCCCTGCGAGTGGGTGGTAATTTCATTAGTCGCGAGTGGGTAGTAGACGGTCGATTCATCGATTGATTGATGGATTTAATTCGCGGATTTAGTTCACGGTTTGATTCGCATGTTATATATTAAGGAGTGTTAGGATTTTTAAGGATAAGAAGGGTAGCTATTATTTTATAAATAAAAAAAACATTTAATAATTAAAAATATTATTTATTTTACACTAGACAGGATGAAATGCGTATTACATATGTCGAAAGCGGTTTAATCCCCCCCCCTTCCTGCTTTTTCTTGATCAGCGTAAGCTAGTTACGCTGGCAAGTAGCTCGCGAACACAGCTACGCCTCGTGCTGCCATTGGATTAATGGTACATCAATGGCACCAACTCCATTACAACCCTCAGGGCTAATCCCCGTCAGGAGCTCCCAGCTCTCTCGAGGCAGCAACATGTAGACCCCGTTGAAGATGAGCAGCTATCCTTGTGGAGCCAGATCGATGGGTCTGGCTGGCCTCCCCATATGCCCATCCTCAATCCTCCGCGTGTTGAGCGCATTCAACCGAGCTCTGGAGGTTTGCTGAGCCCAGGCTTCTGGGAAGATAACTCCAGCTCTCAGCTCAACATATCCTGGATATCCCTGTAAGCAGAAACAAAAAAGTTATGACAATGGTTCTGGGGATTGAGAAAGAAGAGACAGTGAGGGCTTGGTACTTACCAGAGCTAGCGGGTAGAAAACGAGATTCTCTACCTTCTGATGATGGTGCTGAGGCTGCTGGTGCTGCTGATGATGGTGGGGCTGTTGGTGGTACCAGGCCCGCTGGGGCTGTTGATGGGCCAAGGCGACTGGGACTCCTGAGACTCCTGATGATGGTGTTGAGGGTGCTGGGGCTGCTGATGATGCTGGGGCTGTGGATGATGCCAAGGCTGCTGAGTTTGCTGAGGCTGTTAATGATGCTGGGGCTGTTGTTGGTGCCAAGGCTGCTGAGTCTGCTGAGACTCCTGAGACTCCTGATGATGCTGAGACTGTTGATGGTGCTGAGGCTGTTGATGCTGGGGCTGTTGATGGTGCTGAGGCCGTTGATGCAGCAGAGACTCCTCATGATGCTGGGGCTGTTGATGGTGCCGAAGATGCTGAGGTTGCTGGGGTTCATTGTACTGCTCCTCTTGGAGCAGTCTCGCTGGAGTAACGATTTCATCGCTATACCCACTATCATCATCATCATCATCATCATCATCCGTAATCTCCATTTGCTCCTCAGGACTCGGGACTTCATCAATTATGACGACGTCATCATCGTCGGTCTCCATGGGCACTTCCCGACACGGACCTTCCCAGACGATGACGACGTCATCTTCTCCAGTCTCCATCCTGTCGAGTTCCTGGCGGGGACCTCCATGAATGATGACGATGCCATCTTCGTCCTCATCCTCAGCCTCTCCTTCTTCTTCTTCTTCTTCTTCGTTCTTCATCCTCTTCCTCTCCTACTTCTTCTTCTCTCCCAATATCCATTTCTTGGGTTGGCCCTTCCGCCTCCACCACCTGATGCCANCCATCTTCGTCCTCATCCTCAGCCTCTCCTTCTTCTTCTTCTTCTTCTTCGTTCTTCATCCTCTTCCTCTCCTACTTCTTCTTCTCTCCCAATATCCATTTCTTGGGTTGGCCCTTCCGCCTCCACCACCTGATGCCATTGAGCTCGCTCCGCTTGCTCCTCCCGAAGCCGAGTCAGATATTTGGTAGTGCGCTCTTCGAAGTCCTCGTCGAGCAGGAACTCCCACATCAAACCCGCTGCAGGATGAGCGGTGACCCACACTGTTGCCGGAGGGTCCAACATCACATGAGCAGCCAAAAGGGGGAAATGTTGGAGAATGGATTCATTCTCCACGTGGAGAATCATAGTCTTCTCCAACTCCTTGCAGAGGTATTCCGTCGTATAACGTTTTACCCACTCGAATGGGCAAAAAACGTTCTCCTTGATGGCGACGTATTCTTGGACGGGATTCATTGTTACGAACAAACGAACACGAACACTTGCACAAACACGAATGAAATTTTACGTTTTGCTGTCCTTTGAAGACGTTGTGGTGGACTGTGAAATGAGGGTGACTGACAAATGGCATTTATAGGAGTAAACACGTATGAAAAAATCATATAGAACTTCTTTATACGAATTGTGTATAGAATGAACCTATACGATTTCTATAGGTTTTTCGTATATGATATTCGGACTTTTCTATACGAAAATTTTCAATACGAAGTTTTTCTATACGAATACTTTTTCATCGCATTCTATACGTGAATTTTTATTCTATACGATTTATTCCTATACGCTCGGGAGAAATGCGTATAGAAATCCGGCGATTCTATACACGAGGTTTCTATCCATTCGCCTGGGAATCGTATAGGGGTTTCTATAGGGATTATTCTATACGATTTATTCCTATACGCTCGAGAGAAATGCGTATAGAAATCCGGCGATTCTATACACGAGGTTTCTATCCATTCGCCTGGGAATCGTATAGGGGTTTCTATAGGGATTATTCTATACGATTTATTCCTATACGCTCGAGAGAAATGCGTATAGAAATACGGCAATTGTATACACGAGGTTTCTATCCACTAGCCTGGGAATCGTACAGG